AAAAATCGATACAGGGCTTTAGAATATCGATACAGTATCGGAAAATGAAATATCGTGATATTTCAGTGTATCGATATTTTCTTACACCCCTACTGTTTACCAAGTTTGATATTTGTGGAATTTTGAAAAAGTAGAAGGCCGTCCTGCCTGGTCAATAAATTAATACATAAATAAATAAATGGTAACACAAAATACTAGATTGAAGTGTGTAGGTAAAAAGAAATTGAAACAACAAATTTTGTCTACTTGGTAAAAGTAGTTTTGCAAATATAGTGTTAATATTTAGGTTTATATAAAGATATAAAAAAGACAATGGAGATAAAAAGATTAAATAAAAATAAAAGGCTGTATTTTACCTTGGTACAATCATCCTGTACTTACTGTTCAACTAAACTCTGTTTTTTTTTTAAATCAACAGAATCAGGAACTTATTTGCTTGTTTATAGTTTCAGTTGTCATTAAATTAGTCTGAGGTCCTTCCTGCTGAGACACAACAACACTAACCCACCAGTCCGTACCGTCCTGTTAGTGATTATTGCACAGATTTATTAAGAGTAATATTTAATGGCAGGTTGCCATCGGGGCTTTTAATGTAATTAGAAGCCATGTCTCTGTCACATCAGCACCTGCTCATTAAATGTAAAAGTTTTATCTTTATAAGGTGTAGACCTGGTTTTTGTCTCAGGGGTGAATCCTCCCAGTGAGATTTATGTTTCTTTAATAAGAGCAATAAAACACACTCAAATATATTCCTAATAAAACTACAACTCACCAAATGTAACCCTGAACCCAACTAAAGATTCACATAAATATATCTAATATTTATGTCTCTTACAGGAAATCTGTTACTACACACATATATTAGAACTTTAAATCATCACAAATACTAAAACATAAAGATAATTTGAGCTAATTTACTCCAAAATGAAGCATTTTCCTAATCCATCAGTTCAATTTAAGTTAAAGCTGCTTCAGCTCATACCTTTAATCTGTCATAGCTTCATGTTGAGAAATGAAGCTAAACTAATTTCTGCTATTTGATTAGCTGTGGCGGCCATCTTGACTTGAATCAGTTGTAGATGATCACATAATTAAAATTTACTTAAATCCATTCAGTGCCTCATGAGTTATTTTGCTAAAAAAACAAAAAACTTTACACCAGAAAAATGAACATTTTCTGTTAAAGAAAAGTGAATTTGGACCAAAACCTAAAATGAACAAAACAAAAGCTAAAAACAGGAAAACTAGCTCAAAGCTAAGATTAGCGTACGAGTAACTTAAATCTAAAACCAGCAGAACAGAAACGAAAAGCTAAGACCAGAAAAATCAAATTCTAAAATCAGCTAAATACAAACAAAAAGCATAAAAAGTAGATTAAAGCTTCCACAAGCCAAACAGTAGCTAAAAGCTAACACAATCAGAACTTTAACTAAATGCCAACACAAGCAAAACACTAGCTAAACGTTAACACATGCAAAACAGTTGCTAGGGGCTACAGCGAAACAGTGGGTAAAGGCTAACAAGCAAAACCAGTAGCAAAAGCTAACACAATCAAAACTTTAAATGCCTACACAAGCAAAATACTAGCTAAAGGCTAACATAAGCCAAACACAGCTATAGCCTAACACATGCAAAACAGTAGCTAGAGGCTAACATAAGCGAAACAGTGGGTAAAGGGTAACACACAGAAAACAGCAGCTAAAAGCTAACACAATCAAAACCAGTAGCAAAAGGCTAACACAAGCCAAACAGCAGCTAAAAGCTAACACAATCAAAACTGTAACTAAATGCCAACACAAGCAAAACACTAGCTAAAGGCTAACACAAGCCAAACAGTAGCTAGAGGCTACTGTGAAACAGTGGGTAAAGGCTAACAAGTAAAACCAGGAGCTAAAAGCTAACACAA